AAATCAGTTGGTAGGTAGGTACCTACCTATATAATATAACAAACAATTAAATCATTAATTACTCACACCAAATTAAAGTATTGCTTTGAATTAATTTTAACATTTGCTATAAACCTTAAACTGTAGCCGGAGGTCTATGATTCCTATAACCAGGGCTTGCATTTGAAAAAAATTCTGTCTTATATTTTTTACAATTAAAACGTTACGCAATTTTTGAGTTTATCGTTATTCAGAATTCAAACGTTATCCAAGTTTTGCGTTTATCGTTATTTAGAACTAAAACATTATACAAATGTTGCGTTTATTGTTATTTAAAATAGTGTTAATACCTATTAAATTCAAAAATAATAAATAATGTGGGTAGGTAATGGCCCAGATGGGGAATATAATATAATCAATTCTAGATTGTTTGCATGAAATAAATGTTTCTACGAAACCAATAGACATTTTAAATAAATAGATTTTAAAATATTTCGTTTTGTGTTATTTTTCATCCAATGATATCCTATAAATAACGTTTTGCGTTATGTTTTGTTTAATGATATATAAAATAATATTTTGGTAATCGTTGTTTTTTTTTTTTGCAGTATTTAATTATTGCTTTCCATTATAATTAGTTTAATTACATTTACAAATGTCAGTCGTTTTTTGTCAAATATAACGTTATAATCATAACGTTATTATAACGCTTACCCAAAGTCAATTGTGTTTAAATATTATGTTGTTAAGTTGTTTTATTCTTATTTACTTTCAAAAATAGTCATAAATCATAAAACAAAAATTAATACCTATTATAGTAAGTTATTAGTTATTAGGGTACTTATTACCTTTACCTACCTATAGCCTATATTATGCTATTATAGTTGTATTGTTTCATGTACAATTCAACAACTGTACAAGCGATTATACATTGTGTATACACTGTACCTACATTTACATACATACATATAATATAATGATTAACGGCTACATTTAACATTTACACAATGATAAGTCGTGATATTTATTAACCTAATTAAATCAGGGCTTGTAACCGATATTGGATACCAATTTTGAATACCGGTTATAACCGTTAAATACCGAAATTGATACCGAAACGGAAAACAAAATCGAAAAAAATAAATACCGGTAATCAAAACCAATATTTATTTGAAATCGGAAAAAAACAAAATTGGTATCAAAACCAAAAACGAAATCAGAAAATATAAATAGGTAGGTACCGATATCCGAAACCGAAATCAAAATAGTACAAAATATTTTCGGTCTCGGGAGATTTGTTTTTCTTTTCTGGCCCATACGCAACTTGGAAAAAACCCATTCACGTGAAATCATTTGTTTCAGTGTTTTGGAGTAATCTTAGAGTCAAATCATACCTATTACAAAAATTATAGAGTATAATATTTTTTGGGATATGCCTTACCGATTAGTGTACATATTGTCTCAAATTCTCAATACAATTTAATATACATTTCAATTTACAAATTGTTTTTTATTTTTAAAGTTGTATTAGGTAGGTACCTACCTTGTGTATTAGTCAAATAATAATAAAATACATAACCGATATGACAAAACGTCAAAACCTCAAAAATTGTATTCTCTAAATTGTAGTACCTACCTATATATAATATGGTACCGGAACCGGATTACTCTTAGGAGTAAGATTCTCGAAAATCATAGAAACGATTTTACATGAAAGAGTTTTATCTATACTTCTTGTAATCTTTTAGGTCTGAGAGAGACAGTCACAGAGAGTAAATAAAAATATTACGCTGATATCCTCTTTATATTGTATTCTACAGTCTATAGGTAGGTAGGTACTATGTACACGTCTACACAGTACACATATTGGTTACACTACTTGCACTGTATAATATCTACAAGTTACAACTTATATGAATATTTAATAGTAAGTAAATCATTCAACACGAACATCGAGGCTCAGAAGTAGGTACCTATGGAAGTCAAATGCTCTTATACCTACCCAACGAACAACGATATTAGGTACTTATATAAAATATAAATAATAGGCCTCTCGCCCAGAAAATATGGTTAGTCTCGATGGGAATGTGCATTGTGTGTCCTATACTTATACATTTTTGTGGATAAGTAGGACAAGAGGTACATATCTGAGTACCTAACTTAAGTCGCCATTGCGACCACAAAAAAAGGTATTGACTATAGAGTATTTGAGACCAACAGTTGGAATTTAGATTTTGGACGCATTCAGGTATACTAGTTGTAACCCGAAGTCAATAAACTACAATGCTTACTATGATAAACTAGAAAAATGTCTATACATATATAGGTATAGATAGGGTGTCTATAATAAGATAATATTATCTATTATTTTCATTTATTAAACATAAATTATTATGTAACTGTAACCTTCTTTTATATAATTATAACACATGTGTGTACTTATATGGTGTATTATAGTGAAGTTTATGAACCACTACTTAATTCTATATGGCAGTCAACTAGTGTGAGAACTCTTGGGAGGCAACTATAGTATATAATTATGAACTACCTATTCATTGGAGGCGACTATAATGTATTTTAACCTACCTATTTATTTTTGATGAGGATGGGAGGCACTTTGTATATTTTGGGAAGTACCTAACTATATTATATGCACCGCAGATTGTTAGCAATATAATATAAGCACTTGCGACACTTATCAAAAATAATATAAGTTTGATGTCACAATGAAATAAAATATTTATTTATTTTTGTATGTTTTCTTTCTCTGACCTTTGTGCAACAAAGCAAATTAGCGTCAGTAGAACCAATAACTGTATATCAGTAAATGCAGCTACAGTTAGATGCATGCACTTGTACGAGTGCAGGTAGTAAGCATTTCTGTTGAACATCTGTACGTAAACCACAATCTGTGGGAGCGAGAATCCTTATTGCAAGGCCTGCCAGAGACATGAGAGGTAAATGGTTAGTCTATATAGGAGAGCCCTGAACAGCCCATATTCAGACATGATTTTACAGCGCTAGAGCAAGCACCTTTATGCTAGTCATTTTTTTTGAATTAATATTTTGGACTTAAAAAATATTATATTAAAAAATTAAACATTTTAGTTTAAAAAGTTAATTAGCTATATATATTATATTATATATATATTTAAATATTATAAATAACAGGCACATAGAATATATATATTATATTCATAAGTGGTAGATGCTAAGTAATTAAGTAGTATTTATTTTGTAAAACAAAACTTATACAAATGATTAAATCATAAATAATAAATATTGAATCTAAATACATCAAGTGTGATTCTACAATTTACTTATATTGGGTTCATCTAAGTAATACTTCATTATTTTAATTTTAAATTGTAAAACAATTTCATGAAATTGCAAACTAACAGTTACTTAATTTATAATTACACAAATACTTTTGTAAATACAAATAGAAAAATAATATTTTGATAGTCTTAGTTAAGGAAGGAGTCATAATATAATGGACTTTGGCTCTTAATATTGTTATAATAATATATTTGATATTTATTGATCAGTTTATCACATACTATATAAATCTTGGCAATTTTTAAAAAAAGTTTACGTAAAAAATGGTCACAGATCCAAAATTGTCATATGTGGAGTTTAAAACTGCATAGGGCTAAATTTTTTACAACTCATTAATTTTTATTATAAAATAGTCTATTTTATTTATTTTAATGACGTGAATTAGTGTCTCAAATCTCTCAACATTTAAATCATATACATTATATCTCATTTATAAATTTAATTTTAATTTGTTTATTCGTTATTAAAACAGAGAAGAAAGCTAAATAGTTTGTTATTCTAGGAAAATATCATATTTATTATTCTGTTTTACATGCTACTGTGGCCGAGGGAATATTTTAAATCGTCAATTAAACAACTTTAACAAATAAAAGTGTATTGTTTTTTAACCAAAAAGTATTATAAGGCCATGCAATATTTTTCAATACCATTATAATGTATATTATAACTAGGTATAGCTTTAGATACCTAAAATTAGAAACACCAAGTTATTATATGTTAAATAAAACGATTATGATGCATTTCTTATGGTCTAGTTGATTATCTTGAAAAATTGCAATCTAATGCAAAGATATGTAAATTTGCTGTGATATACCAACTTTAGTAAATTAAATTATTTTTTCATTGGTAATAGATATTTATTTGTTTATTTTAAAGTAAGCGCCCAAAGGGCATATTATTTTAGGCTTAAAATTAATATATTACATAATATTTGCGTAATTTAACATATTAATGACTTGGAAAGATGATTGTATGTAATAAGACTAAAATAAATAGGATTTTACATAATTGATTTTAAGCGGAATATTATTATTATAATGTAAATTAAAAGCTTATAATATAGGTACTAGAGTTGAAGAGAAGACAAAATGTAGATGAAAATGTTAGTATGTTTTTAATAGTCGCAACTATGGAAATTATTTATTTTATGATTGATACTTCAATTTGCACACAATATTATTGAATATCCCTATACAATTTATTAATGATTAATTGATATTTATTACATAATAATAAAAAAATTAAAAACTTTGTGGTTTATAGGTAGTTGTTATTAACATTATATTTTTAGAGAAACCTTACGAAAAGAATAATTTTATCATCAAATAAAATATAGTTATGCAAGTCATTATTATGGGTACAAAAATAAAAATAAAATAATTATTGTTATTAGATAATATATCTTACATTTAGGTTAAAGTTTGTAATTAACTGTGGCAATCATTAAATTGATATTTGGTGGTAAATATTGACAGGAAAGCTCTTGATAAAATAAAATAAATTTATTAATAATAATAAAAAAAAAAACAATTTTTAGGCTAATTAATTTTTAAAAATAAACTATTTTTATTTTACTTCAATTAATAACAAAAATAGAGAGCTTAAACTGAGTTATGACTTATCTTATATAGATTACAGTTTTGTCTATACAATTTTAGTTTGATTTATGTTAAAGATTTAACTTAAAATTTTAATCCTTTATGTTTACGCTTTATTCGTGCATATGGGCCAATGTTAGGGTCCATGATAAAATCATACAGCACACTTGTCCAAGAATGGTGTTGAGGTAAATTATCATAGAACTCTGGTGCAATTTTCTTGACCTAAATGAAAAAAACACATATTGTAAAATTTTATAGTTAAAATATTTTAATACAGAGAGTTGACATGTATAAATATATAAACGTTTATGGTATTTTGCATTAATTATTGCATTGTTAAAGATGAAACTAAATGCTGTGAATGTTTTTAAAAATAACTTAGAACTATTAAATAATGTAAATAAAATAAAAATAGAATTAAGTGCTTATAACACAAAATATTATTAGTAGAAAATATAAAAGAATAATAAATTATTAGATTGGTTTATTTCCATATTATAATATACATTCAATTTAAATTAAACAAGTCTAGTTAACTATTAAAATGTACAAGAATACTAAGTACAAGTATAGTACTACACTTTGATTATATTTTTAAGTTGGAGTTATCAAAAACTGCTTTCAAAAAATTAAATTAAATACTCACTTGCGGAAGTTTAGAACCAGGAACAAATGGAAAATCATGATGTTCGTTATGATAGCCAACATTAAATGTTATAAAATTTAATGGACCATAATATGAGTATGTTTCAAATCCTTTGTGAAACATATAATGCTCAGAAATAAAATGCCCTGCTACTGGATGAAGACCCATCGCCATCAATGAACCAGCTAACATATATGTTATTACTTTTGTACCTTTGAAAAAAATTATGTACACAAGATTATCAACTAAACACTACTTAACCATTTTTTTTTATACATTTTAAAGTCCATTTTATAGAAAATTAACTTACCTAAATATAAATATACCCAATAGTTAAACGCTAACTGAATAGCAACACTTATGATTTCAAGTGCAGTAGGATTTTTTGGATAAACAAACATAGGTCTTAAAGCATAGAAAAATGGTTGTAATAATACCCAGACAAATTTTCCAAATGTTGAATTAAATAATTTTGCTTCAACGTAGGTAGGTATGTCTGTATCAAGTTTCTCATCTCCTTGGTACTGTATATAATAATTAAATTATGTAAATTATATTGGTACAATAAATGTATAGTACAAAATACATTGTATTCAAAGCTTAATAAAAAGAATTAAAGTATTTTTTGGAATAAACTTATTTTTTTATAAAAAAGAACAGTTAATTATAGACTTTGCATTAGATACTGATATTCAAAAATGTATTTATACTGTTTAGGATAGTATAAAATATATATCCCCTTACTAATAGTAAACTATGAATAATTTACTGGGGAATTATATTATTTACCCGATGATGTTCTAGATGATAGTATTTAAAAGTGACAGAGAATGGAAGACCAATGGGTAAGTTAGCAAACATACCCAGTAATTTATTGTACATTGGATATTTCGGTCCAAATCCCATATTATGGGCAATTTCATGAATAGCTGAAAATATAGATTCAAATAATAATCAATATATCAGTATTAATTAATTAAATAAATAAATTGCAATTAATACATGGCTTGAAACCGGTTACCGGTTTTTAACGGAAACTGGTTACCATGACCAATTGTGGATCTGGTAACAGCTTCCTGGTTTGTAAGCTTAAATTATGAGAAGCGGTTAACAATTACCGGTAACCACCAAGTTCAATTAAGAGGTAACATGTAGCGGTAACATTTTTTTTAAAAAACCGATCAATTCAACAAAACCGGAAATATAAAAAAAAAATAATGTTATATTTGATTTATATACTTTTATATTTTTTTTTTTTTGTTGGAAATTGTATTCTATTTTTTTGATTAATAATTTTATTTACAAGATAACAAATGTAATCTAATAATAAGTACCATTAAAAAATATGGTATACTGTCTGTAGCCTCAATAATAAGTAATAATCACCAGTCGTAGATACTAAGTACGATTCATTGGTTCATAGACATACTATATAACATATTAGATGATTATTATTTATTTTATTTTATTGTTATTGACACCGTTGATTAACACTTTTCCCAGAACTATTTTTTAATTGATGGTTATGGGTAATTTACTAATTTAATTTATATTTATATTTATCTATAGCTTCAAATGATAAAATATAGCCATATAGGTATTTATTTTTTAATTTAGCTTGTCCCTGAATCGTTTTATAAAGTGAATATTCGTTTTGTGTAAATTAAAGTAAAACTAAAATTTTCCGAAAAATACATAAATGCAAGAAACCGTTTCCGAAGTGGTTACCGGTAATCTTGAAGAATTTAAACCAATAACTAAATTTTTAGAGATCATTTTGGTAACTGTTAATCAATTACCACTAATTCTAAAAAACCCGGGTAACCCAATTTTTCATAAGCGGTTTCAAGCCCTGAATTAAAGTTAATAAATATTATATTACCAAGCATCAATGAATGATTTACAACACCTCCAAAACAATAAGCCAAAATCATAACAGTTGGCCATTTTAAATCTTGAATCAAATAAAGAGATCCCAACTGCAATATTGTAGTAATTACAACAATCCATTTAAAATTCTTATCTGGACCATAAAGTTTCTTGATTTCTGGGTGCTTTTCTGAAATAAAATAATAATATTATCAATGTAATTTCATTTTACCATTTTATCATCCTAGTGTCGGGTTGCACAAAATATTTAATGAATCAATAGTGAGCTAATGGTTCCTTAAACAAGATTTAGTGGCCCACGATATTGAATTTTTACTAACCCAATACATTTAATAAATTCTTTATGCAACCCAGCATAAGCATGACAAATTAAATAGGTATGTCAGCAACTAGTGATACGCATGTCTATGACATAAGCATTTCTCCAAATGGTTGAGTGGTGGAATGGTGGTGGAGACGTGGAGTCTTTGGTTGCAGCGATGGCGGTGGACCAATGAGAAACGGAAAAATGATTACGTCACAGAAAAAGGCTGGGTAGAGGGTGGATGCGCGATTTGTTTTAAAACTGGTATATTACTGACATACCTATTTAATTTGTCATGATTCTAAGGTCCTATGTTTCAGATAAGATTATTTATTTTTAATTTATTCTTCTAAAAATAGTTAGTAAAAACCTATCTTTTATTTACATACTAAATTAAAAATAAAGTTTCAATTATAAACTATTAAATTGAATTTGAAATATATATACATATACATTATACACCGTAAATACATGTATATGAAAAAAGGTACACAAAAAAGTGAAGTTGTTGCTCATGCGCTAGATGCAAGAGTTAAACAATTATAAGTTACAGGGATTCATTATGAAATTGTTTAGTGCCATGTCCCTCAAACGGAATTCAAAAATATGTTTAGGGTTCAGAATAATATAAGTAGTTGAGTAATAGAGTGTACTCTGTTTTTGTGAACACAAGGTATATAAAAATGTTAATATTTAAAAAAATGTTTTACATATTTGAAAAACAACAATAATTATGATAATCAGTTAGGTACATAATTTAGTATTAACTATATATCTTAACTCATAATCTAACTTAACTCAGTATATAATATTATTTTTATCATACCAATTAATAAATAATGCCATTTCGTTGTCACGATGGCGCAGTGGAGTGTAGTTCACCGTGTGTTTGCGTAAGACGCGTTTGTGAAAAACAATGAATCGGTAGTTAAAGTGCAGCGTGCATTCAGACTTCACTTTACCGTCGGACACCACGGTGCTGCTCTCAATGGGGAAACAATTATGAGGTGGGTAGATAGTTTTCGATGGGGACAGTTAATAAAAAAAAACTAAATGGTCCCAAATGTACTGTAACAACTCCCGAGAATCCCGAGTCTTACCGTCTGAATGAGCGCTGCACCTTAACTACCGATTCATAATTTTTTACAAACACACGGTAAACGACACTCCACTGCTCCATAGTGACAACGAAATGGCATTATCTGATGGATCGAATGAGCTTAACCTGAAAAACCTGTCTATTTTTTCACCTAACATAGACTTGATATTCAGAAATGATTGAACTAAAGATTTATTATAAATGCTCAACATATATTATGATGACCATACCATAGATATTATACTTCAATACATTGTTTTCTTGAATAACCTTTGACATGACAAAAGAGTAACATTAACTAATTAAAGTACCTATTACTTAATGCTAAATTAAAGCAAAAAGAGAACCTGGCAAACTGTTTTCTTTTCTTTGATTTCTTCTTTAGTAATTTAAACTATGAGGAATTAAAATTTTCCCAACTAAAAATATTATATACATAGATACTTTTCTACATTATAATAATGCACCAAGAATTATAAACATTGATTATATTGATTATTTATAACCAATACTATTTATAAAAAATAAATATTTATATTTATTTGATTATATTTAATTCTAACTTTATTACAGATATCATAAAAGATTAATAATACTAGTTACTAACTAATTTGATTGAACTCTTAATCAAACTGAGTCACTGAGATAAACATTTGTAGTTGAATTATAACTAAAAATTATTAGTTTTTATAGCCTTGGTAAAATATTCTAAACCCAATTATATGATTTATAGTCGATGGCAATGTTCAACAGAGATAATGCAGCCAAGAATAATAGGTAGGTATAACATATGGAAACTGGTAATTTACATAGTTAATTTTATTGGACAGAATAAAATTTATAAATTAAATTAATTGTTACACTTATGATTTGATTATTCAGGGTTCAAAGTACTGGAACCAGTTATAAACCCGGCACAAAAAACATGTTAGGTATAGTTTGGTATTAAATATACTATGAATTTATAGGAATTTATAAAAGTACCTATATACAATGTGTCCCGTGAAGAAGTGACTAGCCGGTATTATATGATAGCATACCTTATGTCATGAAAAAAACCCCTTTTTGGTATTTTTTTTGGTACTGGTTTGTTATAGTCCCGCTAGTGAAAACTATATATCCCCAACACTCAAGTTTGTTATCTCCCCCCATCCATAATAATAAATATAAAATAATGAGTTTATTTATTGATATAATATTAAAAAAAATTAAAATTAAAAAATGTTATTAAAATGTGTAAGCTTCCCATGATTCCCAAAATTCTGCTACATCTTTTAAAATTTTTTCAATTGGATCACTATTATTTAGTTTTGATAAATTCCTCCATGTACAAGTCTAAAAAATGTCTATCTGTTTTTCTACGTTTTTTGTTCCCCCTTTGACCAAACCCCACATTCTCTCAACATTTTGTACGTGGGCTCCTGAGTTAGGGTCCACAAAATTGTATCTATGATTGACTTGATAATGTTAAAATACGTGTTGTTGCAAATTAGAATTTATTAGATTAATAAATATCAATAAATAAACTCAATATTTTATATTTATACAATATTACAATGTATTTATTATTGTGGAAAGCGGGGAAATAACAAACCTGAGTGGCGGGGCTATAACGTTTTCATTCACCCCGGCAGGGCTATAATAAACCAGTACCATATTTTTAGTTAAGGGAAATTCAATTTTTTTTTTTATCAAAACCGAACCTACCACCTATTTGCTAATGTTTCTTTAAAACTTTTCAAGTTTTTATGGTAATTTTTTTTTTTAAAGCTATTTTATTGTGATATCAACTACATGATCAAACCAGACATAGGTACACAAATTAATTACATTAAATTTAAAAAAATAAAAAAATTAGAATTTTTGAAACTTAAAGTATAGGTACTATCAAATGACACTGGGGTCGGTCACTTGTTCATGGGACACTTTGTACATAATACCTATGAAATATACCTAAGTAGGTATTGATTTAATATTTATACTGAATTCCATTAAATATCACCATATTTGATAGTAAAAGTACTGTTAGTTATTTAAGGCTCTGTCAAATTTAAATAAAATACGGTATAAAATATGTTCGTGTAAATTGTGTTTCATATAAGGTTGTAATTTATAATACAGTACCTATCTATATTCTAAAACATGTTGATTAATAAAATGCCTATACAACAATATTACATATAAATGTATGGTAAAGTGATATATAAAAAATGAGTGATTGTAACTAATAAATAGTTAATTATATTAATCAGTAAAATTATACACCAATACAACTTACTGCTTAAATATTAACTCAGCAATACGTTCCAAGATAATATATTATGTAACTTGAAAATATATTATTAGGTAGGTATAAAATGTATATTATTTTACAACTATAGGCAATTGATATTTTTATGGGACTATTTTAATTATCAATAATGAACATAAAATGTATGCATTTTAGTATAATAATATATGTAGATTGGTACCTACGTATATAATGGGTACAGTACATATGTTAGTCCGATTAAAATGATTTATTCTATTCATAATAGATACATAACATGTCAATTATTATCTATTAATTTAGATAAAAAAAATATGAAAATAATATACTCATAGTTCTACGCATTTGACTGATATAGCTATGCGCCTATGCGTAATTAAACATAATTTTAGATTCGTCCATCTATAATTTTTGGCTAGAAAATATGAAAAAAAATTAACTTTAGCTACTTGCAAATAATTGTATTGGGAGTACCTAAACCTTAAATGAAAAAAAAAGTTCTGTTTAAATTCTATTGAATTTGGAAAAAAAATATATACCTACTTAGGTAAATATAAAATTTAGAAAATCACTATTTTAATATTTTAATTTTGAATAAATATAACAAAATATATTTACGTATAGAAATATCCAAAATAAATTTGACTTGCGCTGACAACATAATAATACATTTTTATCATGAATGAACTTATTTGTATCAATTATAAAAATAAAAAAAAACAGTAAGATTTTCAAAATACCTACTTGAGCATAACATTTATTTCTCATATTTTTAATAATTCATATTTCTGTACACCGTATTTTAGAACTGTAGGTATTATATGATAATATAGAGCTAAGGGCTGTGTTGATTGGTAATAATTTAAATTTTCTCCAAATGTACTGTACTAGTTTAGAATGAAAAAAAAAAATAAGTTTTTATCTAAATAAAAGTGTGCTCTTTTGAATTACCCAATTCAACCAATCTACTATGTTTTTTTTCTCGTAAATGTATTTATGCATAGATGGTAAGTCTTGGCGTACGTCGTACCTACGTCGTACAGATAAGATTTTACACAAGTGAAGAATAATGTCAAGTGTCAAGATACGTACCCAAAATCTCTTTCCTACGCGTCGCGTGCGGCTCTTCCGTGGGCGACCACTCAAAGTCGGTCCTGGACACTTTGGCTCCCATAATGTTCGGTTATTCGTACAGAGTCTGTCGTAGGATGACAACAAGACCCGTAGTCATGGTCGGGAAAACAGAAAAACCAATCCGTCGACAACACGACGCGAAAAATCCGTCGGTCGGGCGTACCTCGGAACGTTATTTATTACGCAATCGATCGGTCGAGATGATACGGCACGGCGGCAGACGCGGAGCACGAGCCGCGATTGAATAACTGAGAACGGTGTCGCGACTACGGCGCCGGCAGCCCATCTGCTGATCGGCTAGGCGGGAGGCGTTGGTTATTCCGATCTTTCCCAAACGGTCGCACGTCCCCGCGACCGTCTCCCCCTCCGAGTCACACCCGCAGCGATTGTTTTCGTTTTTAAAACAAGAGTGTTATTATTAACACTATAACGAGGAATGGTACAATCGTCGTCGTCGATTGGCACAAACTCGATTATAATCGTCCCGACACGGCTGTACGAGGATATGATCGTAATATGGGCGGATATTCACCGGTTTTCTAACACTATTTTATTAATATTAATATAATATCGTATTAAAGAAAAGATTGTAAAGTCGAACCTTTTAATCATGATTATTATTTATTAACTATTTTTCATCAGACTTTACCGTAGAAAATCGATTTTAATTTTCAGAATATTTCGATTGCAGCTGCCGCCCGGCGCCCACCGACCGGTCGGTCGGAATGATAATAAAAGAAAATAGTGTATTATCGATCGTTATTCGTTTCTCCGCTGGGCGCCGGCCATGGTCCAGTCGCCGGCTGCCGCCGATATAGTTCCTCTCCATTACCTATGTAATTACCCATAATATATATTGGCTATTAACCATAATCATATTATTTGTATTATAAAAATATTTCATCAGACTTGGTGTGGCGTCTATAAACACTAGGGCATTGGCCTCTAATCTGTTACCCGTTGCAGACGATTTTATTGTTCTTTGTGCAGTAATCTAACTATAATATTAATTTTCTTATTAATTACTATTATCTAATATCATTTATCAAATTATAATTTATAGGTACTGCAATTGAGATTTCACATTCATGCATGATAGCAGATAGGTACATATAATTAAAATACTACCATCTCCATAGGCGTAGTTAGGGGAGACTTGGGGGGCTTAGCCCCACCAGTTTGAATAATAGCCCCCCACGGTCGTTACATGTCTGCCCCTGGAAGCCGGAAGGGCTATAGTCCCTCCCAAAAAATTTGACCACCCTACGGCTATGAGGTCTAAAAGTACCTACCTATACCTATCTAACAAGTTTATTATATTATATAATTTTGTTATTCTTGTTCGAATGTTCGATTAACAAATATGAAAAATCTATAACCTATCCACTTTTAAATTTTAAATTTTAGATTCTGAGCGGAGAGATGAATGTAGGTATTGATTTCTCAATAAGTGTTTTTTTTAATCCTTATAGCTATACATGTTGAACATTTTATACACTTTCAACCACAAAATAATTATTAAATTTTTAAATTGATAAAATGCTGTCATAATTCAAACTTTATACCTATATGCTTTACGCTCAACTTGTTTTTTTTATTACACTATTAATAACTTATGCTGAATCTTGTATTATATTTTCAAGTTTTTCGATAGAGCGAATAAATATGATGTACCTATCAACAATAGATATAATTAATGAAAAATTGAAAATTTCTCATGGCCATAAATAGCTCAAAAAGAGTTAAAATATTCAACGAAAATGGTCACATTAACATTTTGTGAAAATTTAAAGTAGGTACCTATATATTCTATACGGTTTTTACTATTTATTTATAGTCAATGTGTTGCACTAAAAAAAAAAAAATGGGTTTGCATAAAAATTCTCATTTCACATTTGTTTCCCCCCAGACGCATTTCAAAAGTCCTACTGAGAATTTCTTATTTTTAATAAAACCATGGACCAACTTGATCCACTGTCCTACCAGAAAATATGCTGCAGTAGAAAGTTAAGTTGGAGCATTTTTACTGTCTTATGATAATATGGACAGGGACAGAAAAATCCCTAATCATTGTAAAATGAGTTCATATTCAAAACTATAATTTTGTATAAAACTATAATTTTTCTCAAAAATGACGCTTTAATGCTTTATAAAACTTATAATTATGTAACTATGTAAGAAAATATTTCCATAAACGTTATTGTTATTAATGCTTTTTAATTTTTGATATCAGCAGTGATGTTTAAATTTAATAGCAAATATCATCACCTTGTGGCTTGTATATAATAATTAAAATTTAATTAATATAGGTAGGTAGTAGGTACTTCCCACTTTCCCGATTCGTCATTACATGTTAACCTTTGTGTTATTGTTTGTTTAATCGATAAGAACATAGTTACAAAACCGTAAGATTTATTTTTTAGTTTACCCAGTATAGGTACCTACCTAATATTCATATTTATAGTGACGACTTAAATTATGAATTAATTCTGTAAAATAATTACACCCGAAGAATACCAAAATGGATAACTACAAACTCAAAACACAGAAATTACAACAAAAATTTCATTTCGACGAGCATAACATAGAGAAAATATGTACAAGTTTAGAAAACGGTATGCACTACTTATAACTTTTATTATATATCTAATATAGATAGGTAAATTATATTAGACATTTAAAACAAAAGATTTGTTTACTTATAGCAGAATAAATTAAGTAGGTAGGTATAGCCGGGTAGGTAGATTTTTATCTAGACAAAAATTACACTATAGAATATTAGATTTATCACTGTTCATTATACTTATTATATACCTACCTACATAATATTATATAGGTATATACAATATACACTAATGGCATTAGAGATAACGGGGGGGGGGCTTAGCTCCCTCAAAAAATCCATCACCCCTCCTTTTTTAGTCCTTTAGGATCGAAGCTCACATTGATATTAATATTGTTAGCCCCCCTGAAATTTGAATGGATATAATGAATATAATGGTGTAATGACTCAAAAATTACGATATAAAATAAAATACGACGCCTGTCGATAAATACAGTGAAACCTCTCTTAACGGACACCTCTAATTAGCGGACACCTCTCTATAACGGACAAAATTTCCGGTCCCGGCATAGTCCCGTTGAAAATAATAGATAATGCTCCTCTAAATAGCGGACACCTCTGAATAACGGACGCGGACAGGTTAGGTAGTCCGAAGTGTTTAAATATATCTAAATAACGGACAGCTGTCCAAGAAATACAAACTTATTGTGTAGGTATACAATACAATATGTACCGATATTTTACCGATAAAGACATTTATCTAAATCGTAATTTAATGAATACGATAAGGTATGAAAAAATTACAAAATTAAATAAGAACCTATACGAACGATAGTGATGTTATGACTTAGGTACTGATATCAATAGCATTGTCCGTTAGTGTAATGATAAATAAATGTTTAAAAAGTCAATAAAATTTAAATTTTCAGACATAAATACATACATATTATTTTATAAATTTTTCCCAATAGCGGACACCTCTCAATAGCGGACAATTTGGTCGGTCCCGTGAGTGTCCGCTATTCAGAGGTTTTACTGTATATTAAAATCGTAAGACTAAGCAATTACCTTCCTCCAGGTGATCGGAGGGCTCTCGAGATCGTGTTTTCGAGAATTAGATCAAATACACTATACAACACAATTGTATATAAAACATGCACAGATAATATAATAAATGCAATTAATATAAAATATTATATTAATTGCCTTACCTGATCCGCAGTCGTTTGTGAATTATTTTGTAAGGGTTTTAATAGACACAGAGTAATATTTTTTTTAATTATAACTCGAAATAATAAACGCACTGATTATTGCTCACATAAGGAGTCCAGAATGTCGCTCGTTGAAATCGGTTTTTTTTTTAGACTTTTTTTGGAGGCTGTTACTCGGTGAATGGTGCGCATGCACTAGTTTAAGGGACGACGCGACGATGCTAACCGGAGAGTGGTAGGCGGCTTTATCGAAAATGTTATCGTGAGCTTGGGAACTAGGTTATTCTTTGGCGGCAGATACCCTTTTTTTTCTTTCCTTTTCTCTGGCGGCATCGTATAATAAAGTCACACATCCTGCGTTTTAACGTTATGAGTGGGTGCCGATATCTTAGTTGTCATTAATAATGGTTTTATTTTATGTGACCGATTTCTACAAACGACAGTCTGGCCGTTATTTATTAAGTATTCTGTAAGATTTTAGTTTATTATAATGGTGTGTGAGCATATCATTACAATGGATAACCACTATCTTATTATGCTCATTGATAATATTAATTGTTATTTTTAAGACTAAGTATAACAATTAACAGACAACAACAGAGCTGGTTACAATAAAGTGAGTCATTTAAATTTTTGTAACCAAAATATCCCATATAGCATTTGGGAAATGATAATATTTTGTTAAAAATTTAAAACTGACAATGTCCGTAAATAGCTCAAAATAAGTAAAAATATTTGGAAAATTGTATGGTGTATAGAAAATGCTAATATAAACATTCAGTCAAAATGTCATGTACGTACTGTCATTCGTTTTTGAATAACAATAAAATAACAAAATCGCTTTATGAGAAATCGGATGAATATCCAATATTGTAAAAATATGAAGTTCAAACGCTCATAAAAATTTATTTTGACTTTCTTATAGACATTTTTTTTTTTTTGATAAAGGTAGATAATATTATAAGGAATCTTGTATTGAGTTTTAAAACCTAAGATTTAAAAAGAAGATTTTTTATGAATTTCTAACTCAAAATAATTTCCAAATGTTCGTCATTTTTACGTATTTTGTCAATATTTGATGTTTAAATGCTTATAAAAAAAAATTGTGACTATGGATTTTAAATTTTTTTCATCTGCCTTTGAAACAATATACTAGGAGACTTATATTAAATTTTCAAGCTTTTGTACCTAACAAATACAATTTTATTTATATTTATAGAAAAAAAAAACTAAAAAAAATGGAAACTGAAAATGACCGTAAACAGCTCAAAATAAGTAAAAATATTTGGAAAATTGTATGGTGTATAGAAAATGCTAATATAAACTTCAGTCAAAATTTCATGTACCTACTGTTATTTGTTTTAGAGTTGCACCAAAATCCAAAATCAATTTTCTCGAAAATAGATTTTGCTTAAAAATTCAAGTTTTTCCTTAATTTTTCTTTTGTTTTGAAACACGCCTTTTGAAAACTACTGGAAAAATTTTACTTTTGAAACCCTAAAGTACCAATTAGATTCACTTTCCTATCAGAAAAGATACTGATGAAGAAAATCCAAGCTTTTTTACTGTCCTATAGGACATATATACAGTATACAGTACATAAACCGTAGGTATATAAAAGGCGACAGACACAAAAAAAATAAAAACACACATCATTGTAAAATCAATACATTCATCGTTCCACTCAGAAACTAAAATTCAAAATACGAACATTGACGTAATGTCAGATTTAAAACACTTATCTGCGATTCCAATTTATTTTTGGCAATACAAAGGAGGTGTTTTACAAAAAAAATAGGTGCAAATGCAATTCCTTGTTTAAATATTTACAATGGGCATTGAAGTTAATATGAGATAATATTAAAACTGGCTATAACTATAATTCCTAAATTATTATAGAAATAATTCAGTTAAAGTACCTATGGTGCGAGTGTATTCAATCACCGAGTAAGTAGTAACTTAACTATAGGCAGTTACCTGATTAGTGATTGTTATCTATTATTATCAATATTATAGTTCATCAATAGGTTACCTATGTGGCTATGTCACATTCACATATATGTAAAATGTAAGTAAAATGTTTTATTTGATTTTTATTATATTTAACATACAGTGCCCAAATCTAAATGGGCACTGTATACAATGCCCGGTCAATGTTAACTTATTCCAACTTTTACCTTGAAAAACGGGCATTGTGCACAGTGATCAGGCACTGTGCAATATGCCCAATTTTCTACTTTGCCCTTAACATTTATATGACAGTTAAATAGTGATATTTTTTAAGCCAAATCAAAGGTGTATTCAATTTTCGATGTATGTGTCTATAGGTACTATAGTACAATATTTATTTATAGTTACCTAATGTAACATTTTTATTTATAATTCAGAAATCGAAAACTTGAAAGTAGTCAAAATTCAAAATCAGCCATTTCAGACACCCGACGTTCAGCTCTTTAAAGCTGCATTGCAAGAAACTAAAACCAATACTCTTCTAGAATTACCATCCTTGGCACCGTCCGTCAAGAATATTTCAAACACTTCACAAAACGAGGTTTGTACTTTGTATACGAGATAAATAATTTATAATAAACTAATCGTAGCAAGCACCGAACGTCCCGAAATATTTATAAGTATGTACCATTGTAATATACATACCTACAAAATATTATCATTTATCAGTCGTCGAAGCCTTAAAACCTAAAAAAATATATAATATATATTATACGTAATACGTAGGTACAAATGGTATAGGTACAATAGTTTAGTGTGCGCCTAATGGCAAGGGCGGGCATTGAGCTATTTCAGTCGAGGGTGACGTGTGGCGAGGCGAAGCAAGGCGCAGGCGAGGGCAGAATTTCGCCCAAGACTGAAATTGCCTTCCCGCACGAGCCACACATACTATTTTTTGTCACGGCTCTGCGTTCATCGATCACGCCATCACGTCAAAGGTAATAAAGGCTGCAGGGATCTATGCAACAACCAATAAATTATTATACGAAAACAATATTTTATTTCATGAAAGAAACATGTTTACGCGTTTTGCAAGGAGGTTGTAATATGAATATGAGATGTAACCAAAAGTCCAAAAGCTTATGTTTTCTGAAGACCGTGGTATAGATTTTAGTGTCTGATTGTGCGCTCAGTATACTTTTGGGGATTCCCATTTTACAGCCCTGAACTTTTGGGTGGTACTTTACCACCCGTCACTTTTTGGGATTTAAACTTTAGCACCCTCTGGACGGAAAAATTTCGCTTTTTAACGTTTCAACCGTAATTGAAAACTAAAATTTCGGCGGAGGCGTGACAAAAACAATATTTCATGAAAGAAACGATTTGGTTTTATATACCTATATTTTAAGCGTCGTCAAAAGTAAAATTTCCCAGTAGTTTTTATAGTTTTTAAAAGCCCCTGAAAATACAAAAACAAATTAAGGAAAAACTGGAATTTGTAGGCATAATTGGTTTTCAACAAAATCGATTTTTATTTTTGGTGTAACTCTAAAACAAACGCCCGCCGTAGATACAATATACAATTTTCTCTGAATTTTTGTATTAGCGTTTTCTTTACACCATAGATTTTTCAAAAATTTTCAAAATATATTATTAACTTGTTTTGAGGTGATTATACGGACATTTTTAGATTCTAATTTTTTTAGGTTTTTTTCTATAAATGTCAATAAAATTGTATTTGTTAGGTCCAAAATCTTGAAAAATATTAAAAATACATAGGCACAATTTTTTTTTAATAAGCATTTGAAGTTGGAATTTCGACAAAATTTATCAAGTTTAAAATTTAATAATTATTTTGTAGTTAAAAATTTATAAAATGCTCAACTTTTATAGTTATAAGGAGAAAGGATTGAAAATTTAAAACAATAGGTTCCATACGTAAATAGGTTATATTATATAAATTACTTTATTGACACATATTATGTTCAATAATACGTTCACGAGTTCTTTAGAAAGTCACCCACTTGTAATCTACTGTACAGCAGAGCGACACTCGTTTTGTTTATCTTGCGTATCAGAAATGCAAATCATTTAAATAGTATATTACGCAGTAATGTATATTACCTAGCTATATTATGATTAATTGTAATATTGCATGAAACACGCACAGATACATTTGGCTGTTCGGGAAATGCTTATAAATATGGGTGAACATATACTTATTATGTTTCGGGGTTTCACAGAATTATTAGGTATTAACGAAAAAACGGAAAACGATTTATAGATTAATTTTAATCAGGATGGAGTTATAGCCAATTGGGTATAATACAGCTTTAGACTATAGTATAATTTAATCACGCCCGTGATGTAGGATAACAGTTAAAAGCAATACGAAATATTTTTTATCAGAATTTGTATTTTGTATTCATCGTCAAGCGTTATTAACAACATAACAATTTAAGGGTAAAAACAAATAGTTTTTTAAATCAAGGTTTTCAAAAAAAAAACCACTCGTACATTGATTACGATCACCACGACACCACATTGTCCAATGAATAATATAACAAAATATTATATGAATGCATTTGTTCATTAAATTCACAGCTCTATAGTTATATAAAATAATATATAGGCACTTGCGTGACCGAATAAATAAAAATGTAAAATAAAATACGATCAGCTATAAATAATTGTTTAGATTCTGAGTGGGGAGATGAATACCTATTAATTTTACAATGATGCGTGTTTTTACTTTTTTTGTCTGTAAACAATTTTTCTAGTAGAAAAAAAATTATAGTAGACTATCCAAAATATCTAAAAAAAAGTATACCCATACAATATTTTTATAGATATTTTATGTTAACATTTGGACGAAATTCGATATTATATGAATAATAACGAGTAATGACTAACGAATATTAGGTACCTAGGTATAGTCAGCTAAATTAGTTATTAATTTGTTGTCATTTAAAAATATTATCCATGGGTACTCACTACTCAGGGGTGGCTTCAAAGATATGGTTAGGGAGGGGGCAAGTCATAATTTTCAGAAAATCTCGATATTATTAGGTATATGCTTTTTTTTTTAACAATATACAATTTTTTAGAAATACAGCTTGGGATAGGGGCCCCTTGGAGCCACCCCTGTGGGTATATTAAACTTTTAACTTATATTATTATTATATTTTATACACATAGGTACTATCTGACAATTCAAAGCTTTGCAAAGCAAAGCTAGAGCCACCGCTGCAGTGTGTAGGGACCTTAAAGTCTTATTAAGTCAATAACAAAATATATATTATGCAATAAGCTTTTGCTTAACAGCTATTATACTATATTATTATTTATTTAATAGTACGAAAATCTAATTACTAATTATTAGTAATTATTACCGCCACAGTACCTATTTACCAAGAAAATGGTTATCAATATTATTATCATTATCGTCTTTTATTGCCGAGTGTCTACGACGATCGATGACGGCATGGGATATATCCAAATACATTTTACAGCTAATATATAGGTAACTCTCTGTAGAGAAAAGTTCTTTGTTGTGGAGAAACCATCACTCAAAATCAACTAACACGACTGATAAGTATTTATTGAACGAATCATGTTTTCAAAATGCAATTAACAAATTTTTGATTAGCTATATAACAAATTATATCAGAACTACCTAAATAGAATTTTGTTTTTTTTTTTTTTGTATTTGAAGATTATTTTGAATAGATACTTCTAAAAAGTGTATTTGAGTATTACTCAAATATTCAAATACTTAACTATTTAGAGTATTTGGATAGTATTTTAAAAATATTTGAGTAATTGGGTAAAAAATTTTTAAAAGTATTTTTTACAAAACTGCCGGTTTGCAATCTATCTGCGGTAGATCGTGAACCCCGCGTGGTGGGTACGTAAGTGTATAATTTAACTGTAAAATATTAAAAAAAAATTACTCGTACTCGATACATTCTGTACTAAAATACACATCGCATTAGTAATAATTATTATTAAAACCAATAGCAACAACAAAATATTAAAAAAATAATAATAATAATACTGTCAAAATCCCTGGTTTAGAACCTCCCCTGTTTGAACTGCTTATTTAACTTTTTTCGTGACAAAATGTAGGCTATCTCCTTCCCCGAGATCTAATCTATCTCTGTACCAAATTTCATTGCGATCGGATGAACGGTTTAGGAATGCATAAAGGACGCTGTAGGTAGTAGGGTATAAACATTTTTTTACTATAAGATAATAGATAATGACATTTTAATATGAAATGTTTTCTGCAAAAACGAATTCAACTATTTTAATTTTCAAGCTACTATACTACCAAATACCAATAGTAAAATAAATTACTTTTATAAAACTATGAATATGTCAGAAATATAAACCTTAAATTAATGTAACTCGTATTTTAATATTAATTAACTTGTGTATTATTTTTATTTTAGATACCAAAAACTAATACTACTAAATATTTGTTAACTGATGCTGTGCAAGCTTCGAGATGTTTTCAAAGAACACAGCACACACAAACAGAAGCAATAACTTTAAAAGTATGTAATAATTTACATTTTCATTTTTTTTTTTATTTCAAATAATTTGTGTCACATGTACCTACCTATGCTTATATATTCTCAAATATTCAGAATACTGCAATAGTTACAAATTGAAAATATTAAATTTATAATTATATGTATTAAAGTATATTACATTCAGCCATTCGGGGCTTGCAAACGTTATAAAACGTTATATTTGACAAAAAATCGATTGAAATTTGTAAATGTAATTATAACGGAAAGCGATAGTCAAAAATAATTAAATACCGCAAAACAAAACATAACGATTAACAAAATATATTATATATCAATATATCATTAAACAAAACATAATTTATAGAATATCATTGAACGAAAAATAACACGAAACGAAATATTTTAAAATCTTTTTATTTAAAATGTAGTTATTATTTTTAAATTTAATAGGTTATTAACACTATTTTAAATAACGATAAACGCAAAACTTGGATAACATTTTAATTCTAAATAACGATAAACACAAAACGTGTGTAACGTTTTAATTGTAAATAAAATGGAATTTTTTTTTCCAGTACAGGCCAGTAATTATTTAAAATTGACCATTATAGTACCTATAGTCGTATAGATAAATATAAAATAATTATGATTATTTAGGATCAGTCAAATATTGCATCTGTATGGATACTTCAAAAGGAAATCGGTAATAATATGTCAACAGAAAAAATCCAAGGTCAGTAAACTAATAATACTATGTTTACCATATTATATATATTATCTACATTCTACAATTACTATTATTAAATGCTAGGCAGTATAGGCAGAGGAGTAGGTGTAGGTACTATAGTTGAAAAAATAGAAGTTACTTTTGTTGGTAACTTTTAACTTAACTAAATATTTACTTTGTTTAGTAGCTTGTTTGAGTTAATTAGCTGGTTGTTTGGTTGTATATTTCCTTTAAATAAAATATTATTTAACTATTTATTTTTTTAAAAAATCATGAAGTTATTCAAAAGTTTTTTTTATAAGCTATTCTTAAATAAAACACAACATTTCTTAAATCCTGAAAATTCAAAATTCAAAATTCCTCACAAATGTTTAAATAAGTTAATACATTTATATCATAGAAATGTAAAATATTTTATTGGATGATATTTATTTTAATTTAATTTATTCCGGTTTCTTTGTTTATTAATTATAGATTTTTTTTTGTTTTAAGTAGGTACCAAGTACCAACATAATTTTTTTCTAACTTTTTGATAACTTAGTTGGTGTTTTAATAGACAAACGTATAATCTAACTATGCTGATGTAATTTATAAATACATAACTATTTAGTTTTTTTTTTAATATTCTAAATTTCTAACTTTAACTGGTTAGAAATTTCAAATTACCAGTGTAACTTGACCAGCCAAAATGTTGTTTAGTTAAATATGGTTTTGAAAAAAGTTAAAAAAGCTTGGTTTGGTCTCTGTACCTACAGATATATTTTTTTTAGACCCTATACTGATGATCGCTTGGAATATTTGAATCGAAATTATTCCTTGATTTGTATCATGATACACCACCTCAGTGGCAGATTTAGGATTACAGATTCCTTTGAATTTGAAAAACTATACTAAGCGGATTTTTTTTTGATTTATTTAAAAAAAACCCGACATCCGTGGCCATTAGTTATAAAACTGATTAGTTTTATTTATATCTAGATAGTAGATTAAAAAGTAAAGTGCGTATTTATGTTAGTATTTAAATGACCATGAATTGATATTATATTCTTATATAGGTTACAGTTAGAATAATATAGAAGTATATATATTATAACATTGATCACAAATCTGAAAATACAAATGCAAATTAAATATTAAATTTTTTAAAATAAAAACAAACTATTTTTTCTAAAATATAGCTTAAGATTATAGTTTAAATATTTTAAAATTTCAAATATGTATGGAGATATTGTAGCATAAATATTTAGCAAAAGTGTCAAATGTCTAGAAATATTCTTTCCTGAATTGTTTTTTATTGATTACTAATTTTAATCGTATGAGTACTGGTAAATAATAATATTATATTTGAATAGTAAATTGATATTTCAGAAATCAAATCAAACAATTTCAAAAAAATGTTGTTCATATCTGACAGAATTGTGACGTCTAATAATTTTTCCGAAAAACAGATTGAATTCATAACACGACACACTAGTGACAGTATGAATATTATCGTTCACACAAAGCATTTAGTTCCCTGTATACTTAAATATGGGTTTTAAATTATTTACAGAATTAAACGCAATGTCTTACCGTTATGCGTTAGAAGAAATATTACAATTTTCAAATGATAAATTATCGAATTTTTCGGTCACGTCGTTCGTATGGAACACTATGAATGAAGTAAGTATAAATAATTTACAAGGCATATGGGTAGAAACTAGAAATACTTCATAAAACACATTAACACTCACAACAGCTTAATAATAAATTATATAAAATAAAAAAGAAAATAAAGTAAGTATTGGTATTAATATATAATTTGTTTGAATCAATACATATTGCAGATGAAGGTCCATATATAATAACCATATAATAATCCTGTAAAAGCAGGTAACTACGAAATTTTTAAAAGTTGACCAACATCTATCATATTAGGTATACCTAACCTAATACCTAATCAATCTGATTTTTTTATTGTTATACTTGTTACTTATTACTATATTATATAGTATTAATAGTTGACCCACCCAAGTCACTTACACTTTACAGGATATTTATAGGATTTCAAAGTTAAATATGAATTTTTGATGATTTAGAAGTTAATATATAATTAACCTGTGTAGGACGTTCTGGGGATCGAAATAGGTGGACATTAGGATAGAATATTTTATGGATGTTCTGGGATGTATAGATCATATCATACGATGTACATGTGTGAAGTTATTAGTTTAAATAATATTATGTTTATAATAGAATTGTGTAGGAATAATTACTTATATATAATAATACGTAGGTATACGCAATGGTGAAAAGTTTCAAGTATACATAATATAATATATCCCACAACAAAAGAATATACTGGTTTAAATAATTACAAAATAAATATTTTTTACTCTATAAAATATGATGCGTTTAATTCAAAATAATAATCGATGTTTAGGACATTTTGGCAGTGGGATACGGTAAATGGAACGACGAACCAAATGGTTTTAAAGGTGCTGTTTGTTGTTGGTCGCTAAAGAATCCGGTTTATCCGGAAAGAATGTACGAATTCAATAAACCCATTACTTGTCTTGATTTCTCAAAAACCCATGCCAACATCCTCGTCGCCGGTAGTCACGGAGGATGCGTCTACATATTGGATATAGCCCAAGAAATATGTGACCCGGTGATAATCAATGAGTAAATTACCTACAGTTTTTCTCTCTGTAAAATTATATTAGCATTAGCAACGACACAAAATAATTTTTTAATAGCAATGTAATAGTATATAATGGAATAAAATTAAAAATATTACATTTAAAAAATCCACAGTAGGTATCTATGAACACTTCTGGTAAGCAGGTATACGAGGTTATATGTAGGTTAGGTTAATATTGCTCACAGCACGAACAATATAAGTGTAATTTAAATTTATTTAAATTTTGTTCATCTGTTAAACTAATTAATAATTTATAATAAATGTTTACATAGAAATTATACATTTAAACCTAAATATTTCAACAAAAATATTAAATTTAAAAATCTAAATAGGTATATTTTTAGTTGTTACATAAAAAAATAAACTTAAGTTAGTTTGTCATTGACTCAGATTCTATAGCATTAGATTTTTGCTAATTTTATTATTATGCAATATATAGGTTAAAATATAAGCCATAGGTACATATTTATTTTTGTACCATGCATCTGCAAGAAATCCAAGTATAAAATTGCAAGTCTATGGTATATACCATATCAATGACATGAATAGTGCAAAAATCTCAATGCGTTGTTTTACATATCGGTTTGGATAAATTAATTTCTAGGTTGAGTTATTCATAATAATTCATAAATGACGTAATATAAATAAAAATAGTAAATTAAGTCCATGTCACTAAGCCACCAGTTATAGGAGCATTTAGTTTCGACTTCCTTCAAATAAGTTGTTAAATCAAATCAAAAAAATTTATATTTCGCGTTTGACTTTTATAGCCATTATTTATATAGTTTGGTACTATTACTGATTAAGTAGGTGCTTACTACCATGTTTTCTTTAAATCAAGTTGTTTTTAATAATATTATAAATATAATTTTAGGAAAAACTTACAAAACTTTCCTATATGGAGTGTTCTATCGTTTCTACAAAAAAGTTATACATCGGAAGACGAATTTATACTATCCGTGGATGACAATGGATCGGTACGAAAATGGTCAGGTGGTGTCTCCAAGACTTACAACACAGGTAAATGCTAAAAAGATCGCATATTGTATGTAGGTATAGCATTGTGCAGGCCATGAAAATATAGAACATTAATTTTATTCATTACTTATATGGCTATACTTACATAGTTACATAGTTATACATAGGTAGCAGTTTATAGACTGATTTAGGATCAAATTACTTTTTGTCGAGGGACACTGCACTTAACAGACATTTACTGTGGACTTTTGTAGTTGGCTATTATAGTTACAAAGTATAACATTACGTGTGATGAGCTATTTTGACTTCTCTTCGTTAGAAAACGATTCCTTAGCCACTCCCTCCTCCCCACATATCTCCAGGTAGAGCATTTTTAAAACTTTCAATTTCAAATTAATTTCAGAACAAATGTCGTTAATATATTGCGGAATCCGAAACGATACCTCGAAACCGAACAAATTCAGCCATTCAACCATCGTTCAAAATATGCCCGGAACGGTCATATCGTTTCACCCAACTAATAAGAGTACATACTTTATTGGGACTAAAGTTGGTTTCGTCGTACAGGTAGGTGCCTTCCTATATATTATATAACGGTGTTTCGTCTGACATAATACATACTATACATGGCAATAGCGAAATTATTATACATTATAGGCACATAGCAGACCTTAGGCTATGATTTCGTTCAGTACGTGGCTTGTCTGTGTGAATACTGAACAGCAGTGTCGTAGACATAATTTCTGAAAGGGGAAGAGAAAATGGTAGGGGAAAATTGGAAAATTCCCCACCCTCAATAGCTCGATAGATTATAATATCACAAAATATTACATTATAGTGCAACTACGTAATGTAAGCAAAAACAAAAAATAATAAAAAGCCAATAGGGGGGGGATCTGACTATCACGTCCCCCCCTGCTTGTATACGCCACTGCTGAATAATAAGCTATAATATAGTACCATAATGTTCTTTTACAACTATTTATTACCGCCTCCCTTAAACATACTACATAATACCTATACATATTATAAGATATACGTTTATGTAATTAAGTGTGGGTACCTACAAACATTCCAACATTTGTGAATGTATATTGGCCTATATAATACGCCTAAACCCAAAACATTCAAAACCCCCTGACTACGCTGGAGAGTACTTTTTAAATCTGATAAAATATTGTTTATTTGAGTAAAACGTTTGAAATTTAAAACACTTTCCAAATTTGGAATTTTTCAATTGGTGTGTCGCACTGTAGGTAATTTCGTAAACAAATTAATGGAGTTTGTATGGGCCTTATGGTACACATAGGAAGGCGTATATATATATACGCTCAGATACGCCTATTAATGATCAACTATTTATTTTACTTAATACAGGCATACATCCATTTTATTCATTGTTCATTACTTAGGTAGGTACGTATAGGTATACTTCAGTGCTAACGAATTTTATAAAATTTGTAAACCGATTGAGTAATGAGTTTAAAACAATGAATAGCTATTTCACGTGCATGTACATAACATTACTTATATTATGTATATTATAATCTTCACAGAACACGGTTGACAGCTGCAATCATTACGACAGAATTTTCATGGCTCATAACGGTCCGGTTTATGGAATAAAATTTTCGCCGTTCTGTTCGAGTATATTTATAACATACGGAGCCGACTGGCAAATTAAAATTTGGATGGAAAACGTCGACGTACCACTACTATCCCTATCTTATTGCGTAAGTTTATTGGGCACAATTCATAAAAAGATTGTAGATTTAAACAAGTTAGGAAAGCTCACTATTCTATAGCATGCTAAATTCCCGGTTTCTAAACGTTTTTAATTTTTAACACAACGCAATAAATTATAATTTGATATTTCCATATTATACAATTTATGTATAGGTACCATACAACAGTAACTACAGCCAATAAATAAATATCTTAATATCAACAATCGTAACTATTTACTACTATAACTAACGGACGGACAGACACAACATAAATATAAAGTGTTCTATAAACGTAGGTGGTAGGTATGTTTAGAAACCAAAATAGTGGGTTAGTGAGTATATCCAGCACTCAGTAGGTACCACTCTAGCTATCTGCTGTACCTACAGTATAGCATGTAACATATTATATTGTCCAAGTATTGCACAGGAAAAAACTTAAATATGGGTGAGTGAGTTGTGGGTATTGATAGGAAAAAAATAGGTCATTTTATAGGTCAGTATAACAAAATATTAAGGGTAGGTCACCTCAAATTATTTTAGCAACGCCATTTTTTTTATGATACACGCCAGTACGCCACTGCTGCTATACATTATACTATTTATACTATTATATAGATTTATAGGTGTCGTGTGGGTCACTGCAGTAGTCTGTAATGGAATTAAATTTGAGTAGAAACTATATCTACCTACTCAATAACTACAAAATGAAAATACTAGAGAAATCTTGTAAATATTAAATTTTCAATCTTGAGCTATTCAAATTTAATATTTTTATACATTTTTAAATGCAAAATTATTGGCACATTATAGTGATTTTAAGGAATTTTGTCAAATTTGAACATCAAATGCTTTAATACTTATAAAAAAAAATATGAGTAACCTCGTAGTAAATATCCAAGCTTTTTCACCCAGATAAAATATAGGTACCTATGTAAAAATATTTAGGTAGGTATAGAAAAATAACAGTTCTTATGTCTATTGTTTATACTTTATAGAAAATATATATTTATTTTGGAATGTTTATCATGACGTACCTACCTATAGAAAATGATAAAATAAACATCTGGTGAAAGCACCTTTGTGGTTATTCGTTTTTGAATTACAACAAAATAAGAAAATAGTTCACGTTGAATGATGATTGATGAGAAATTGTTTATTTACGGGTAAATATCCCATATCAGAAAAATGTGAACTTCAAACGCTCATAAAATATTTTTTTGACTTTCCAGTAAACTTTGTATAACATTTTCAAGTTTTTTGACCGATCAAAACGTTTTTTAAAAAAATTTGTATGCCTAGGTACATTAATAATTATAAGTAACTTAAAAGGAGTCAATATATTTTGAAGATTTCATAATACATGAAAAATTGTCACTGGAAAAACTAAATCGATTTTGACAAATCCTCATTTTTCCTTAATTTGTTTTGTTTTCCCCGACGCTTTTGAAAATTACAACTAGGTACCTACCTATTGTTTATTTTTGACATCTCAAAGTGTATACCTACTATATAATTTGATTCACTTTCCTACCAGAAAAGATGCCGAATTAGAAAATCGAAGTATTTTTGTTGTCCCGAAAGCTGATTTTAGTCATGAATAAAGAAAACACATCATTGTAAAAAATAAAAATAAATACTCATCGCTACGCTTAGAATCTTCTAAAGCACCAACGGACGTGATTTATCTTTATGACATTTTGGAAGTTTTTTACTTTTTAGAACTCCGTAGACGACGCCGATTGGTCACCCATTAACTCCACAGTTATCGTCAGTGTTAGCGGCGCAGTCATATGTATTTGGGACTTCGCACGAAAAACGGTCGAGCCTGTCATGATGTTTACGTGCAAAACCGGTGTACACTTTTCGCTGGTGAAATTTTCCAAACACGGTAATGTGAGTATTATTCGATTAATAACTATACTAACGTTTAATTGTATGAATCACATTGCTAAGTACTAATATTGCGAGTTTTAGAATATTGTTACTGGCGATGTAAATGGACTGGTTAGATGTTTTCACATCAGTAACATGCCTTCGCCGTCATTTCTCCAAGTAGGTAAACGTAATGTTTTAAATCATTAGTGACCAATGAGCATAATTAATTTTAATGGCAGGCACCTAGTTAAAAATTATTGCTAGGTTACTGATTGAGAAGCATAGTATATTTCCAAAACAGATTAGGCACTTAGTTTTTTTAAATTTTGGAAAAATATGAAAAACTGTTTAAAATGTCTAAAATATTTTGATTTATAGTTGTAGGTAACATGCAATTTTTTAATTGCTCTATATGATTTTAAGATGTTTTTGAATCATGTTACGTGTGTTACGCGCAAATACATTTCAACAAAACATAATTTTAAAAATAATTTATTTCAGATAAGTAATTTATTTTGGTTTTTCCTGAAAAAAAATCTTCACAATTTTAATTTACATCAAACTTTGTATTTTTTTTTAATTAAAACGTTTTTTTTACTTTAATGTTAAATAATTAAGAATTTTGAATACGTAGGTAGGTACTTGATAAAATATCAAACACAATCTTTTATGCTTTGATTGAATAATATTATATTCACCATAATACGGTTTACTATGATAGAAAATAAATTGTTTAATTAATAGCTTATAACATCAGTTTTGAAAATACATTTTTGTTAAAACTAATAGAATTATTAAGCTAATAATGTAGTTTTAGAAATAAAATAGTAAGTTTTGGAAATTTATTTCATATTAAAATTAGGATACTATATTATCATAAGAGTATAAGACTAAAAAAATGTTTTACATAATATTAATTTATGTATAATCAGTTTTGGGAAATAGACTACTTAATTATTTCTAATTTATTTGGTGTTTGTAAGTTTAATGATCAAGTTTATATTATATTACTATTATACAGTACAGCAAATTTTATTTTGTTTTAGAAAAATTCTATTCTAACAGCTCTGGAGAATATGATGTCATCAAATCATGAGCTTGTTCAAATAATTAAAAAAACCATGATGAACAACTAAAAATGTTGGATAAGTTAATAGTGTTAAATAATTTAAACTTGTTTTTTTTTAAATTTTTTATAAACCTATACGTTCACTTTTGTTAGATAATTATAAATTTATCATTTGACAAAGATTAAATAGTTATGAACAAACATTAGATAATAATGACTATATTATGTTTATAATTACCTGTATATTTTTATAACACAATTTTGATGATGCTATTTGGTTACATCAGTGGTAGTTTACACTGCCAGTCTGCAAACGTATGTGTATGAAATAAACTTTTGACTCAAAAATAAGAGTTTACTTCACCAATTAGTGCTTCTGATAACCACATAAGCATAAATTATAATACTTGATACCATTGATCAATCAATGTTGATACTAATAAGTAGTTTTTAACAATAATTTATCCATGTTAAAATAATAACTCAACTATTTTATGAATAAGATGTACGATGGAACTTGATTCACATTGCTATATACAGTGAACCGTGCTTTTCAACATTTTTTTTTAAGATGACACCCTAATTAAATCTATAAAAATGGTGACACACTTAAAACAATTAATTGATTTTTGAAAAAGAAACAATAATAAACCTTATATAAATTGAGAATGAAACTATCTTAACAATTGGTTTTTTTTTTTTTTATCAGATTCTGTGGTTTTTACCATAATGTCATAACGGGTATAATAATATTGTATACATTTATACTTAGAACATGTTATACAACATATTAAATAAGCAGTTTTTTGGTGACACACCAGTTGAGAACCACTGCAATAGTCAAGAGCTCGAAAAATTAGCACAGCCATCATGCGCGCTGAGCCGCATTTTTTTGATACTGTATCCAATCACAAATTTATATTTTATTTTTAAATATCAAATTATTTATAATAGGTATGAGTTTTTTTTGATATCGTATGGGTACCTTTATTCTTATAAGTGATTTATTTTATAATATATGATGATGTAAATTAACATATCGGCAGTGCAACATTATAATGCTAAGAACTAATGGTTACAATCATGAATATGAACAATAGGCCGCAGGGGCCAACATTCATTTTTTGTGCCCCCAACTATAGAGTATAGATTATATTTTGGGTATAAAAACCTATAAAAAAAATAAAAACTTACTGAATGATTTTTAATTTTGTTTAACCAATAATATAACGCTTTAGTGAATATTGATGTGTAAAATTCAATAATTATTATAAAAAAAAAATTGGGAATGATCTTAAGATAAATTATATACAAAATAAATTAAACAAAGAAACTAAGCTCTATTATATTTTCCCCAAATATGCAACATAAAAACGGAGGCAATGAACAACAAAGACATCACTAATACGGGCACAGGTCCTCTGAAAAATAAACAATAAAAACCATATTAAATCAATGTTGCATAAATATTACATAACACCATAAAGTTAACATATGAATATAATATATATATTCAAAATATAAAAATTAAAAAGGCCTTTGTTGTCAACATGAAATGTAAAAACTCTAATTATACTACTACTATAACTACGAATTAAAATAAATAAATAAAATATTATGATAATTCAACAAATTTGTATGTAAAAAGCACAGATATAAAAAAATACTGGATGGTCGATTGCTATAGTCCATACATATAAAATAATGTCTCCAACAAAATGGCCGCCAATCATTATATAAGAGGTGACTGTTTACAAATTAAACTGATTCGGTAGGTGATAAGATACTATTTTGTATATATCACTATTACAGATATATATATCTGTGATCACGATTATATTATATATACATATAATCACATGTAACATCGTTTCTATCAATACCTACTATACAACATAAATATTCACCTCTTAGATAACAATGGTAGCCATTTTGTTGGCGACAATAATAATACCAAAGTCGGGTAACTAGTATTTTTATATTATATCTGTGGTAAAAACTGTTATTTTTATCTTGAATATTAAAAAATGTAGGAAAATGCTTACACTTTAATTCCAGGTGAGTCATCTGTGTAGAAACGCCACATACCTCCACTGCTAGTTCCAGTATTACGGTTCCTAACTGATGTAGTGGGTGCAGCAGTTTTTCTATAAAATAAATTAACCATGGAATATAGTTAGGGTTATATATAAGGTTTAAGCCATATATGTGAATATTTGAAAGTTTATGTTCTAAACAGCTACCATGGTTTTAGAAAATGCTTTAATTAAGAGTGAACTAAAATAAAATGAATAAGTAATTTATAATAAATATAAGGTTTATTATTACCGCTGTCTCAGCACATTTCCGGCTGTTCTAGATGCTCCTGGTTTAGATGGTGACCTGGGACCATTATTGGTTGATTGCATTGCACTTGGATTTACTGGCTGAAAAATAAAACATGCTGTTAGTTTCCTATTATATAATATTAAATATTTATTAATTATGTTCATAAATTATAACAGTTATTTTTGCTTCATTTTTAGAAATATTAATCTGTCTTAAAGAAATTAAAATACAGTACCTAGATAATAAATACAATAATATTTAAAAGAAGAAATCAATTTAAAAAAAAATGATTTATCACTGATTAAGTGCTGCATAATTTTGATGGGCAATGTTTTTCCAGGCTGTATTGGTTTGTCCAAACTGTTGAGGAAAAAACATCAATACACCAATACAAGAACTATTATTATTAGACCACGGATTTAAATGTTCTTAAAAATATCAAAACTTGACCTTTCAAAAAATTAATGTATGAGTACGACTAAAAAACTCTAAAAATGTCGTACAAAAATTCCCTGGAATCCTTAAAAAATCAAGATAAATTTGTCAATTTTTTTTATTAAAAACCAGAATACTATATGTTGTTATAGTACAATATGTGTATTTGATATTTATATACCTGTGTATTTTTATTTTTTTGGGTAATAACACTAGAAATAGGTAGGTTAAAAATTCAAAAATAAATGATTTAAACTATTTTTATGAACTTATTGAAAAAAAAATATATAAGTTAATTAAGAGAAAATAAATATTTATACTATGATCATATTAATATATATAACACATAATATGTACCTAGGTATACGTATATGTAAATTTAAATTAATGATCCAAGTAAAATATGCCAAAACGCACATCTTAAAGAGTAAGAGGAGCAGTGGCGTTCATGGATATATTTAATTGGAGTGGTTTTATTAAACAATTATATATATGTACCTAGGTATGTCCTATATCAAAATATTTTTAAAATTGTATCATTTTTTATATATCTACGGTAAAAAATACTAAGTTAAATACCAAGGGTGGTGTTACCCCTTCCCCCATGGGTGTTTGCCACTGATGAGAATTACTAACTTCAATCTCATTTTAATCTATTATTATTCGTATTACCTATGGTTGAAAGAAATGCAATTAGTTAATATCTTCTATCAAATTTATTGAAAATGATGTGATGTGACTGATTAACGACAGGTTTAACCAGTACTTTTCAAAATTTCAATAAGAAGGCTTTTGTTAAAACGCCAAACACTCATGGTCTTGGTAGGCTGTCCTCATCTCGCAAACATTGTAAATAACAACACAAGCTCACCAGAATTAATTTTGTGTTGTTAGCTTAAATATTGGAATAGGTTGAACTATTATCAAACTTAAGTAAGAATATTATTTAGGGCATCTCATAGGCACTTATTGATATTTAAATTTTAAAGTGAATTATACCAAACTATTTAAAATAAGACTATTTTAATATGTTCATAACTAACTTTCAAATTGTAATATCAATAAGTCAATGAGATGCCCTAAATAATATTTTTACATTTAAATTTGATAATACCGGATAATACACTATTAATATTAAGACGAACAATACAAATTTGATTTTGCTGAATGTATGAATAATTGTACATGTGTAAGATGAAGAAACAACACGTCATCGTCATGCTAGTTCGGCAACTTGTTAAAAAAAAGGCAATGACCTCTTTAAAGAATTTTTTAATGCATAAGACGTAAGATGTATAATGTATATCTGACACATATTTATTTTTTAATATTTATCATGGTAAATTTATTGTGGTACCTAACAATTTTACTGGAAGACTACAAAATGCATTAGCACCAGTAGGTACTACTTTCACCAGCTTTTAAAATGGTATTTTAAGATGTCTCAACATGGGTTTTTAAAATTTAAATCTGTTTCTCTACGCTACCTACTTATACCTAAAACGTTGCTGTTATATCTCTACCCACTGCAGATTCAAAATGATCGGTAGACACTCCGGACTCCAGACAAAAATGATCCATTTTTCCCCCTCGACCATTTACCCATAACTATTACGAACAGTGTAATGTACAAATGTATGCAGTAAGTAAATGACCACCGAAGTGCCACTCGCGCTCAAGTCCAGACGGCGTCGGGAACCACATAGGACACGACGACACGTATGGTGTTCCTGTCGATGGCCACTCGCAAGTGGGTTGGACGTGCCCTCCGACATTGCGAACGGAAATGAAAAAAACCACGAACGGGGAAACGGGCAACGGCGGAAAGTACGCGAGGACCGTAAAAATAAGATGCTCACCATTTTTGACTGTTGACGTTGATCGGTTCTTGAAGACGGCGAAAACTGTTCGAACGGCGACGATGGCGGACGGAAGCAAAACGTATAGTGAAGACGTGTACCGCTTATGAATATTAGAACGGTGAATTCGTGTGGCCGCCGCGTCGTGTCTGGTTAAGCGCTACGTGTTGGTGGTGGGGACAGCTGCGGGTCGCGGGACATTACGGCGTACACGTTGTCACGAACGCGATAATGCTGGGCCGTGCGTTGGCATCATGGAGGCAAAAGTGAGACGCGTGGAGCATGGTGGAGGCCGAGGGCCGAGCGCCCGACGGAACACGGCCAGCAAACAGTCGCCGGCGAACACTGGGATCCCACATCAAACGATCCGATAATCGTTATAATATTAATATTATTTAATATTATTAATTCGGTAAAATAGGTACTATAATAGGTAAAGGTTAAACGCTATAATGCACTTTACCGACCACCTCACGATTTTCAATAATTTTTTTTCAAACGATTTGTTTTAGATTCTGAGTGGAACGATGAATGTATTGATTTTACAATGATGTGTGTTTTTTTATTTATTTTTGTGTCTGTGTACACGATAAGTAGTAGAAATAATGCTTCGATTTTCGACTTCAGTATCTTGTTCGATTGGAAAGTGAATATCGTTGGTGCATTGAGGAGGTCAAATTTTAAAATTCCCCGTAATTTTCAAAAGCGCCAAGAAAAACAGAAGAAACATCAAGGAAAAACAGGAATTTTTACGCAAAATCGATTTTTCAGAAAATTGAATTTTGGTTTTTGGTGTAACTTTAAAACAGATGACCGTAGATACATGAAATTTTCACTGGTTGTTTATATTTGCATTTTCTATACACGATAACATTTTCAAAATATTCTGATTTATTTTGAACTGTTTAGGGACATTTTCATTTTTCATTTTTTTTTTTGGTTTTTTTTTCTAGAAATATCAATAAAATTTGATTTGTTGGTTAAAAAAACTTGAAAATTTAATAGAAGGCTCCTAGTATATTGTTTCAAAGGCAGATGAAAAATATTAAAAATCGTTAGTCACAGTTTTTTTTTATAAGCATTTAAAGTTCAAAAATTGACAAAATATGGAAAAATCACGAAAATTAGCAAATTATTTTGAGTAAAGAATTCGTAAAAATTTTTCTTTTTAAATCTAAGATTTGAAAATGTAATACAAGATTACTCATAAGTTTGTCTACCTTTATCAATAAAAAAATCTCTACCGAGTACCGGACAGTCAAATTAAATTTTTATGAGCGTTTGAAATTCAAATTTTGTACAACATTGGATGTTCACTCGATTTCTCATGTAGCGATTTCCTTATTTTGTTCTTATTCATAAACGAATAACTATAGATACATGAAAATTTCACTGAATGTTTATAGTAGCATTTCCTATACACCATACAATTTTGAAAATATTTTGACTCTTTTTGAGCTGTTTACGGATATTTTCATTTTTCAATTTTTTCAGTTTTTTAGATTCTGAGTGAAACGATGAATGTATTGATTTTACAATGATGAGTGTTTTTTTTGTGTCTGTGTACACGATAAGTAGTCGAAATAATGCTTCGATTTTCGACTTCAGTATCTTGTTCGATTGGAAAGTGAATATCATTGGTGCATTGGGGAGGTCAAAATTTAAAACTCCCAATAGTTTTCACAAGCGTCGGGAAAAACAACATAAAAATCAAGGAAAAACGGGAATTTTTACGCAAAATCGGTTTTTGACAAAATCGAATTTGGTTTTTGGTGTAACTTTAAAACAAATGACTGGTTGTTTATATTTGCCTTTTCTATACATGATAACATTTTCAAAATATTTTGATTTATTTTGAACTGTTTAGGGACATTTTAATTTTCCATTTTTTTTTAGTTTTTTTTCTAAAAATATCAATAAAACTTTGTTTGCTTAATAGAAATACTTGAAAATGTAATACAAGGCTCCAAGTTAATTGTTTCAAAGGCAGATGAAAAATATTAAAAATCGTTAGTCACAGTTTTTTTTTTAAGCATGTAAAGTTCAAAAATTGACAGAATATGGAAAAATCACGAACATTAGCAAATTATTTTGAGTTAAGAATTCGTAAAAATTTTTCTTTTTAAATCTAAGATTTGAAAATGTAATACAAAATTACTCATAAGTTTGTCTACCTTTATCAATAAAAAAATCTCTACCGGACAGTCAAATTAAATTTTTATGAGCGTTTGAAATTCAAATTTTTACAACATTGGTTATTCACTCGATTTCTCATGTAGCGATTTCCTTATTTTGTTGTAATTCAAAAACGAATAACTGTAGATACATGAAAATTTCACTGAATGTTTATATTAGCATTTCCTATACACCATACGATTTTGAAAATATTTTGACTCTTTTTGAGCTGTTTACGGACATTTTCATTTTTCAATTTTTTTAGTTTTTTTTTCTATGAATATCAATAAAGTTTTATCTGTTGGGCCAAAAAGTGTAAAAATTTAATACAAGGCTCCTGATATATTGTTACAATATCAGTTGAAAAATATTAAAAATACATAGGCACAATTTTTTTTTATAAGCATTTAAACATCGAATTTTGACAGAATTTTTCAAAATCTCGAAAATTATTAATCATTGTAATTAATAAACTATAAAATGTTCAGTTTTTATAGCTAAGGATTGAAAATTTAAAACAAGATTCCACGTAAGTAGTTAATTCTCTTACCGAAAAATCTAGAAAATATACAATCACAGTTTATTTTTATAGTCATTTTATGTTCAAATTTGGACGAAATTACATATTAAAAAACCTAGTTATTTTGTTGTGATTATATAATATTATTACCTACTTGAAACTTCTAAAGTGTACTATTATATATCTATGATAGTATCAGGGTTTGTTATTGATGTTGATGTATAACGTGTTATAAGTACCTAATGGATATTGTGATAATGTGATATGATTAATTTGGAATTTATTATAGGTCAATTTTTTTTTAATACCATAGATATGTATATAATTTGTCTTAAACCTAGACTGACATACCGTCTTCGCTCAGAATCGTTTTTCTTATACAATGATATTGTATCATTGAATTCAAATTTAATACCATCCATTATACAGTGACCCACTTGTAACCTACTGTACAGCAGAGCGACATCCACTTACCCACCTTTTTTTTTTCTATGAATATCAATAAAGTTTTATCTGTTGTGCCAAAAAGTGTAAAAATTTAATACAAGTCTCCTGATGTATTGTTACAATATAAGTTGAAAAATATTAAAAATACATAGGCACAATTTTTTTTTATAAGCATTTAAACATCGAATTTCGACAGAATTTTTCAAAATCTCGAAAATTATTAATCATCGTAATTAATAAATTATAAAATGTTCTGTTTTTATAGCTAAGGATTGAAAATTTAAAACAAGATTCCACGTAAGTAGTTAATTCTCTTACCGAAAAATCTAAAAAATATACAATCACAGTTTATTTTTATAGTAATTTTATGTTCAAATTTGTCGAAATTATATATTAAAAAACCTAGTTATTTTGTTGTGATTGTATAATATTATTCGTGGGTACCTACTTGAAACTTCTAAAGTGTACTATTATATAATATCTATGATAGTATCAGGGTTTGTTATTGATGTTGATGTATAACGTGTTATAAGTACCTAATGGATATTGTGATAATGTGATATGATTAATTTGGAATTTATTATAGGTCAATTTTTTTTTTAATACCATAGATATGTATATAATTTGTCTTAAACCTAGACTGACATACCGTCTTCGCTCAGAATCGTTTTTCTTATACAATGATATTGTACCATTGAATTAAAATTTAATAGCATTCATTATACAGTGACCCACTTGTAACCTACTGTACAGCAGAGCGACATCCACTTACCCACCTTTTTTACGCTTAAAACGATGGTGTACATTTTTTTTCCGGAAAATAATTTTTTAGAAGTCATAGCCTTCCAAAGTTTGCGATTTTACGTTTGTGATTGCGCTGAATGCTACACGAATGCCACGCGGAGAGCCTATAACAAATTTTTAATTTTTTTTTATTTAGTTAATCATTAGCCTATCATCTACCTGAAGATAATTGCTTCTGGACAACATGGTTTAATTCCGAGGCCTGCCCAAGGTGGTTTTACATAACAAATCGAAGGATATTTTCGATTATTTTGTCCGAGAGCATCGCAGACATCACTTTTTTCGCAACAGTTCAGCCGATGAAAAATGTAGCATATTGAGTAGGTATTTATGGGCTATAAATTATAATAATATAAACTGAAAACTTCGATTAACTGTAACTTCAAAAGTAAACTCGTGCTCCAAATTCTGATTTCACCAACATTTTTTCACCTAAAAAATGACTATATCCGATGTACCACAAATTGTTAAAACACGTAAAAAAAAAAAAATTATAATTTGTTGTACCTATGCGCTGCGCTTGCAGGCAGTCAAGTAGCGTTGCCCGCAAGCACATAAACGTAAAATCGCAAACTTTGGAAGGCTATAACTTCTAAAATAATAGTTTCCAGTAAAAAAAATTACACCATCGTTTCAAGCATAAAAAAACAATTGGCTTGAGAAAAAAAAATTGAAAATCGTGAGGAAGGTGGGTAAAGTGCATTTGTTCCACAAATAAAATAAATAAAAAATTTTTATTTAATTTATTAAATTTAATCTGTGCAGGTAATTGTTGTATGGTAATAGCAAGCCCGGATTAAGATAACTTTGGGCCCTGGGCCAAATAATTTTAGGGGCCCATAACCATAATCAAAATATTGGGGACCCACAAATAAATATATTTCAAAGACAAAAACAAATTATATTTATAAATTTATCTCTTAATTTTTTACAAAAATAAAAATATTTTTCGTATAAATAATTTTTCTTGCTTTTTGGGAAGCTAACTCTTTAATTATATCATCTGTATTAATTACCTCCAAAACATCACTCTCTGAACACAAAACCATATAACTAT